TTAATGCCGCAGAATTGGGGGGGGGGGGGGGGGGGAGAGAGAGAGAGTTGTATTTTTCCCGTAGGTCTTATGACACGGTGGCAGATTAAAATGCCCAGATAAATTCCCTCTGGTTGGATGGGCCCCTTTGAAAAGGTGCCCGCCACCGTAACTTGGCAAGGAGTGAACGCTATGGCCAAGTTATACTATGGCGAAGCACGTGATAGCTAAGGGCACAGAGCGGAGAGCGTAACCTATGCATTTGAGGTAGATGCGACAGCCCGCGGACCTTCTTTCGTGTGTCCCCCAGACCTTGCTTTTCTCACCCCCCCTGGAAGATTAGCCCTTTCAAACATTCGAACAAAAACGGCCTTCCTCGCTCTCTGCCACCCGTGGCTTCGACAGCCTTGCGTGTCACTATCAGTGAGATAGAATATGTAGTCGCGTGTTCCGCTACAACGTACTGATTGTCCCTTTGGGACCGTAGCCTTCACCATTTGCCAAGTCACGGCGAGTCGGTGTATAGAAATGACTGAAATGTGTAGAGGTGCGCAACTATCCGAAACTTGAAACAGTGTTTCCGATTCTAGTCAATTCACGGCGCACTTGTACCGTTGGAATTATGTGAATTTTTCCGAATATTCGAAAATTTCGAATGTCTTCAGAATTCTCCGCAAACTAAGACGAGCTCATACCGCAGCCCTCCCAGTTACAACGCCTGAAAACGTCCAAGCAGGGCAGACACATACCGTCCCTCATCAACTACGATACCTCCACCCCCCAGACGTATACCCCCAGAACCACTCCCGTGGAACATCGTCCCCAACATTCAGGCAGAGCCTATCCCACGAAACATGGACCCCGACAGAAACAAAAAGCGCCGAGAACTCTGAGCACGAGCTCTTACGACAGCGAGTACTCACGGTAAAACAAGAAGGAGCTCGCGTTTACTTCACAGATATGCGAGCCTTCAAACCGACACCAACACCGGAACGATTACCTACCACTCCGAACACCACGAACATGCTTTACAATACACTAACCCACCCACCATCGATGCCTTAGAGGAACACGCCACTGCCATGGCAATTGAGCGTGCTTGAACCGAACCCCGCACACACCACCCAACCTTCATATTTTCAGACTCACAAGATGCACTTCGCAGTTACCTTCAAAACAAAGTCAATGTTTGCACTCGCAAATTCCTCGCCCTCATATTGCATCAACACCCCTACCATCGATTTCGTTTAGTGCGGGTACCAGGCCATGCTTCAATGGAGGGCAATTCAAGAGCCAATGCGCTGACCAAAGTTCCAGTTCCCGGACCCTCCATTGGCGGGCCTAGCCCATACTCTCCCAAAACACAGCGAGCCCTCGATAAACACAACCGCCGCACACTTTTGCAAGAATACTGTGGGAACCGTCAAACACCTGCCCCCTCCTCCCTCCCATCTCAGCCGCCCAGATGCCGCACCCATCCAGCGGGCGCAGAGGCATTCACTGCCATCACACCGTCCTACACAAAAATTTACCAGCGACCCAGCCACCCCCATTGTCAATGTTCTGACACCTACCCCTGGCCGCGTCACTCATATTGGGCGTGCCCCCTTTACTCCCCTCATAACCTCTTCCCCTTTTTTTTTTCCCCCTCCGACACCCTTGGACATCGCCGAGCAGGCTCTTCAAGCCCTCGCTGCTCATGCCAAGACTGTCTCGGCACAAGTGCTCCAGAATACGAGGTCCTGACCCCATCCCCCCACCCCTAAGAGACCTTGACCAGGGTTTCCTACGTACAAATAAAGTTCATTCTCTCTCTCTCTCTCTCCGTAAAATTCGTCGCAAAAAGCTTCACTGCTTCGCACAGCTCTTGCGTCAAGCTCCACCGCTTCGCATGGGCGCACGCGCGTCAAGCTTCACTGCTTTACACCGGCGTGTTAGGTGGAACAGCAATACGAGCATCGCGGTTGGCACGATGGTATAAGAAATTCGGCTGAAGATTGAAGGCCAGCCTGTTTTCACTATCTGACTCTAAAGGGTTGTGCCGGCAAAGAACGCGTGCGCTATATTAAAAAAAATAAGGTATTCGTTGGCTTGCCTGCCAGTTTACATTATGCTTTTTCCCACCTATCTTGTCAGGGACTTATTTTTTTTCTTAACCCTACAATGCATGCCTTTTTATTTTTACGTAAAATTATTTAGGAGTACTTGCTACTATAAAGCATGATTATAAAAATTATTAAAAAATTGTATTGATTTTTTCACTGAAAAATGAATAAATGCATTATGTTTTATGTCTGATACGCGATGCATTGGTGCCTCATGGGTTGTGGATATGGCGAAAGCAGATTTTGTTTTTGTCTTCGAAGATTAAACATTTAGGTTCATCAAAGTTAATTTGGCAGCATTGATTTTAGTTTACCATCTTATGTTGATCAATAGGTTATTCATTTGTTATTTTCATAGAAAACAGCCAAGCTGCCTCCCAGATGTTTATTTATATCAATAACAACAAAAATTGCAAAACGTACTAAAAAAAAAAAAAGCCATAGTTATTCTGCAGCTTTATTGTTATTTTGTGCTTATCAGAATGTATTTCGTTTTCATTTTTCAATATTACAATGACATACATAAAACATAGTAGGCTAAAATTATTTCTAGATTAGAAAATATTATTGTGAGGGCTGTTTCTTCTGCAAAGGCTTCTTGAAATGTGCCCCCTGGTTTGTTCGAAAAGTGATTAAAGAGATTTTAAAGCATATATTTTTTATTTAGGAACATGTGCACTTTTTGATCAACTGGAGATCATTTTTACACACACCGAAAAATAAATTTATTACACAAACATTATACAGTAAAAACATTTTCCGCCTACCAAAGCTGTGAACAAAACGTAGGGGTGCAAGCGAGCTGGTGAGGGTTAAACATTTGACTGAAAACTCCGAAACTGGGACGGACAAACACAGTCTCTTTTGAGACTGTGTTTGTCCGTCCCTTCTCGTCCCCGTCTCGGGTTTTTCAGTCAAATGTTTGAATACGAAACATTTTTGTGTGTGTGTGTGTGGGGGGGGGGGGGGGGGGGGGAGGCGGCATGCGACCATTATACAAATGACCGTTATATTACTAACAATTCAAGCATATTTATTTGTTAAAAAAGCAAAAAACTTGCAGTTCGAATTTATTATTTTTAACACCACAAGAATGTATGTCTGTTTTGAAACTACAAGATGTTTCTCAACAACATATGAAAAATAGCACATAAAAGATCAGTTACACCACTTACACGTCAAAAAAGTATGCATTTATTTCTATTTATTCATAAGCTGAAAAAGTTTTAGGCTTAGGCCTAGGGTGCATGGTTCTTGTTGTAAGATTTTCCTGAAAATGTGTCACTCTGCATACTTACAAATATGGTGGGCAGAAGTTTTTAAATAAATTTGTATATCTTTCGTTACACCACTGACATTCAAGTCGGTCACCTCGTTTCTTTTTTTTTTTTTTAATTCGTAAAAATATAAATACTTTAGCAACACTGGATGCCGAGATCATATCAGAAATTGGAGCAAACGTAGGTGTAGAATTTTTAAATCAAACTTATAAAAGTTTACTAAGCTAAAACAAAAGTTCACACCTTTGAAACGTGTGTGGTAGGTAGCAGATGCAAAACAAGTGCTGAAATTACACATAAGAAGCAATCTAAATTTTTTCTAAAATAGTTTAATTATGAAAACTTGCAACTTTTTGTTTTTAGGACACCCTAATGCTATGTTATGCAAACTATATTTTAGGAATGATGGGAGGGAGGCGTTTGAAATTTGACAGTCACATTAATGTTTAATTTTTGGCAAAATGACCAACCATCACAGAAGCTATTCACAAGCTCTGCATCATGAGTGAAAAACGGGGGCTGAGAAAAGTCGCAGTTTTTAATCCTACAGCCCTCCCTGCCCTTTATTGGCAGTGAGCGTTGCTTCAAGCCCTTTGGCTAAGCAAGTATAACCGCACAAGACAGCTTGGCTTGACAGTGACGCGTTCTGATGAGACGAGTCTCTAAACTTAGATTTCGGAAATGCTAAAAAAAAAAAAAAAAAACTTTATTCAAAGTATTTTAGAAAAATTATCTGGAAAGCTGTGGTATCCGAAAAATTCATCTTTACCAAAAGAAATTAGGTCCAACTTATTGTCGTACTATACAAAAAATTATGTCTTGCTTGCTCGTTCCACAAGGATTCTCAGTGAAATCAGCAACGTCTGCGTAACAGCAACAGCATTGCCCGTTGTTAGATAGTTTTTCTTACGGCGATCCAAAGGAAAGTAGTTTCTACACAGTCTCGTACACGTTACTAAAAAAAAGTAATCGATTACAATTACTATTACTCTTGGCTAAAAAGTATTCGATTAGATTACTTGATTACTCGACGGCAAAAGTAATTGGACATTACTTAAAGAAGTAATCGTTACTTTTCCGATTACTTTATTGTGTGAAGACACATCTTTAGCGCTCATAACAATGAACTACTTCCAACCTATATTTCACATTTGCACAAGTATTGAAGAAGAAAAATTGGCTCCCTCTTCGTGGTCGTTGCACTTTCACATGCGGACACGCATAGAATTCGTTTGAAGACATTTAATGATTTGGGCGTTTGCCAGTGTGTGTGTGTGGGGGGGGGGGGGGGGGGGGGAGGGGGGGGGGTGGAGAGCGGAGGGGGTTCTGGATCTTGTTAAGCTTGAGCAAGGGTTGTCGCTCAAAGTTTCCGTCGCTCATTTTATTATTCATATGTGGATGAGCTCGCATGTTATACAAAAGAGCAGATTTGAAACGGATCATTTGTAGTATCCATAAGCGGAAGAGATCGCCCCGACCACTTCTCAACTCGAAACATTGTTTGTCACAAAGACCACACGTAGGGGAAATGGGGAAATATTTCAACTGCCTTTGTTATATTTTGCATCCGCTTTAGGCATTCTTCGGTTCTGGTTCTCCTACGGGCTGCGTGTAGGTACCCTAAACAGGATTTCTTTTTTCTGTGTGTGTGTGCGTGAGGGGGCTAGTTTGAACGAAGGACTCTTAAAGCTACATTCTGCTTCCTCAAACTTTGCTTTGAATGGCCTTTGTCACGCACTGTGGCTTCCATGGGACTTCCCACTCCCAGCTCGAAAAAAAAAAACAAAAAAACTGACATTTCACAGAAACCGTACATAGAAAGAGATTGACCCTGTTTCCTACACATCCGCAAAAATCTTTCTTTTTTTCCGTTGGAAAAAGAAAGCAAATTTTATTTTTGTCATTTTATAAAAAAAGGGGTGTGCCCGGGGGGGAGGGTCCCGTGGACAAATTGTAACGGTTACAAGTAATTTTATTACTTCAAAAAGTCATCAGATTACTCTCGTGATTACTGCCTAATAAAAGTAATCAACTGATTACAAAATTACTCCAAAAAGTAATCGATTACAAGTAATTTGATTACTTGTAATGCGTACGGTACAAGTCTGTTTCAACAGGACCAACTTGTCTTTGGAGGACCTATTTGTTTTCGTAGCAGTCCTCAGGAGAGCTGCTCCAAGTGGGACAAGCTCTAGTTTGTTGCAGGTTAAGAATGGCAGGACAATCCTCTCCCAGAAAGCTCATCATACTTGGGTTTTTTTTTCTCTCCAGCGTTTGCTCTGCTACGGTGAAAAAAGTGGAGGGCTTTGTGAGAGGAGCTCTCCCTGCTATTTTTGACCTGCAACAGACTGTAGCTCCCGCCTGCGGCAACCATCGCGAGCCGCGAGGGCACCCTAGCAGGTGTCGTGAACCACGAAGATGTTCCACTCAAGTGCCACGGTCATGCAGCACGGCAGAACAACCAACTTGCAGGCGAGACTGCGGATGTTGCAGGTTGGTTTTCGTCGGCAGCCTGTGACAGAGTCAAAAACTTTAATTTAGATACACAGAGATAATAATTTCTTTCCTCGACATCCTCGGTGGTTGTTAGGGTATAAACGCTTTGTGCAGTAAATAGGCAAACAGCAAATTTGGATGACTCAAAACCTGCAGTGATGACAACTCTCAATTTGTTTTTCCAACAAATGCCTATGTTTGTTTACTGCTTCTACGTTTGGAACGAAAACCTTTAAGGAATCACACCCATTCTCTTGGAGTTCTGAGGGCTTCATGAAGTGTTGAACTCTTGGGGCTTGTATTTGAATCAAGGACATGATGCCACCTTGCATTTGGTGGCAGGGACGCGAGAACATTATCAGTCTTGTCTCCCGCACTGTTAATTCCAGATTTGACGTTATCATCGCACATGAGGCTAAACTCGACCAAGCGACCCCTCCTCTTCAGCTGCAGGTCTCTGTCGGAATAAGAGTATCCTCTTTCCAGATTCTTGTCCAAAATGGGCAAGTAGCTGGGCAGCACAACACGGACACAGTCGCTGATCAAACGAAACGCGTCCTGCAGCGAAGGACCATCGATCCTATTCATGTATATTCCTCCAAGACCTCTATGCTCTTGCCTATGCTGAATGAAGAAGCGTCTGTCACACTCTTTCTTCAAGGCTGGATAGAGAGTGCTGTCATGGAGGTCACAGGTCTCCTTCAGAGTACGATGGTAATGTCTGATGTCATCCTGGTGCAGAATGTAAGGTACAATGTCAGTGCCACCTTCAAACCAGCCTGACAACACCTTGTTTGAGGCCTTGTCCCTTAACTCCGAGTACTTGTAGTTGAAATATAGTGTGGGAATGTTCGGGTTCCTCGGGTGTATCGCCGAGTCTAGTCTGATGGTCTGAAGCGTAGCACGATGTCCTTGCAGAGTATTTGGTCCGAGCCACGAAGGGACATCTGTGTCATTCAACGAAACCGACGCTGTCACATGAGCTGCCTCAAAGATGTCACCATCTTCTATGACGCAGGATATGACACCGGAACCTTCATTTGAATCTGTGCAGCGCGTCACGTGGAAGGTTTTGTTGCCCTCGAGGCGTTCTAGCTCCCTGACGATATCGCCTTGTGCTGTGAGGACTAATAGCTCCATTTTGCGTCGCATGTCGTCCTGGTTTTTCAGCAGCGTTTCGAGATTCGTGATAGGCTCGGCCACAAACTGAGTGTGATCGGGTGCCAGGGATAACGCGGCACACGCGCTGCGATGCGAACAGTAGGCAAGCACGGCACTGCCTCCAGCACCTAGCGATACAGCAGCAGCAAGCAGCTTTGCTCGCGAAACACTGACAAACAGGAAAGAGGAACGCACGGCCATGTTGCTCGGTCCCGGTCCTATTGCGCTGCTCTTGAAGTGAACCAAAGTTTTGAGATGACGCACAAAAGTTGAACGCCACATTGTTCTTAAGTTTGAGTTGTAATGCGCACCACAACGTAACAAACCGAAGAACTTCTCAGCTATCACCGAACTATTCTAGTACACCATAACCGAACGCCAGAAACCGAAACTTCTAAATCGACCAAAAATATGCATTCACCGCGGTTTTGTAATCAAAAGTTAGTTCACAATAATAAATTTATAAAAAATTGTTTTATTTAATTATTTTATAATATTTCATATCTACTGAATAACTTTTTAATGTTTTAATTATATTTGAACATTTTAGCGAATACAGCGAAGCCGGCTCCGTGTCTGCGGTGCTGCTACTAAAGTTGTTCAAAGCTTGTGCACGATGGTAAGCGTCTACTTTATCGGGATATTTCTATAATTTCACGCTTCCCACGCATGTATTATTTCGCTGAATGTGATGTATACTCATTGGAAAACACCGGAGCCCAAATGTATTCTTTTTATTTGCGAAGCTAACGTTCAAATCGGGCGATCTCCGACCGAGCGTCCATGGACACCGCTGAATGATCGGCATGACAGAAACGCCTTTGGGGCCGTTTCTAAAATTACTTCATGTCACTTCCTCTAACCACGGTGAATCGTAGACAGTTTGTATACGGTCTCCAGCTAACGCGAAGTTCGTGCTGTTTCTGGAACAGGCGGAATTGTTCTGAGATCAGAGGGCTGGCTAACCGTGATTCATCAGTTTTGAAGACTAGAACTCGGCAGATTTCTCACCCAGTGGTCGATATCGCCGCGTTGTGCTCTCTGTCAAATTTTAACTTAAATATAAGTGGCATTACATTGCTTATATAAGTTTTGTAAGTGGTGCCGGCTCCGCAAACGAGTACATTGTCACATGCACTGTTTTAGGAGGAAGTGTTGGTTGCACATTCTCTCAAAGTGGCTTTGGAGTTGATCTGACTCTTCAAAGTCCGAGCAGCTCTGTACAGCTGCTTCAATTTGTTTGCAAAATGGAAAAGTAAAACAAACTCACTGGTCATCAGTGCCTTAGAATCTCGACGTAAAGCTGGTTCTCGGTTCACTGTAAACATTAATCTGATAGTTTTAAGTTTTTTGCAAAGTATCTTGGTCTGTTTTTGTTCTGTTTTGCGAGCGTATTTCTTTATTTTGTGCTTACAGAGTGTGACAAAGTCTTCACTAAGACTACATGCGATCTGGAGTATTTCTTTCACAGCTGAAGTGCCGCTTTCAGAACAAATTGTGGAGGAATGTGTCTGTGCGAGAAACCTACTTATAGTTGTACTCTGAGAGATACAAACTTGGAAACAACGCAACTAGCCCAACTTCACGCCTTGTTCCGAGAGATAGCCCACCTAAAATTGATAGGAAATCGAATGAAAATAAGGGGTAAGCTAACTTTCGGTATGCCTTGAAAAAGATTGATGTTTCGGTGTTTCAGAATAAATAGCAAATCATGCCAAAGATAATGGTGGGCCATCTTTCGGGACTGGGACATCTCTCTAGAAATTACGGTAGGTTGCGTGGAAAAAATTTGGTGTTCTTCATAACTACACTCTACAAGTAAAGTTGACAAAATTCCCCTCGTTGTGTTTGTGGTCACTGTCTCACAGTTGCTACGTTCTACTTACCTACACCTCCTGCACGAGTTGTGCTTGGTGCCGCACTGCCTTACTTGATATATCTAAGTGCCGTTCCCAGTCTCAGGGTTTCAACATCATGATTACTGCCCTGCATTTTTCTGCACCGCACACCTTTTCTACATCGGTGCAGTCTAGTGCAGGTAAATGAAACAAGCTCAATGTGTGCTTCCGTAAAACATCTACCTAGTTTGCGTCGCGAAATTTGCATGTTCGCCATCAATCTTTGCGAGTAAAATTTGCCAGATTTCCCACATTGTGTTTGTACCATCTCTGTCGCAGTGTGTACTTCCCCATACTTCCATTGCAGCTGTAATTCTGACTTGCAGTGTGTGTGTATGTGAGAAGACATAACCATCTGCAGATGCTGTAGGTGCGCTTTGCCTCTCCCGTTTCCCCGCAGTACAGAAACCAATACGACAATGACGTCACCGTGTGGAGTCCCCAGGGGCGCCTGCACCAGGTGGAGTACGCCATGGAGGCCGTGAAGCAGGGCTCCGCCACCATCGGACTCAAGAGCGAACGCCACGCCGTGCTTCTCGCACTGAAGGTAACCTGGCTTCTGCTCGGTCCCGCCGTAAGGGTAAAGGAGAAACGGGCATTCTCCCAGTGTCGCGTTCCACCAGCCGCGGCGTCGCAAAGAGAAATGGAGCCTCCCTACATTTTTAGGGTGCGTCTCCGACCGGCGCACCTACCGCGTCCTTGAAGCAGCCTCTCGATTTCCGGCCGACGGCGGCGTAAATGTGCGACACTGTTGCCTGCCGGGGTCCTGGAGGCGGCGCAGCAGCTGATGACCGTTTAAACGTGCGTCGCTCTGCAGCCAGGCAATCGACAGAAACCGAAGCAGACGCAACGCGGGACGTCCCGACAACGGCGACCCTGGCGTCTGCTTTCTTTTTTTATAGCATTCCTACGATCGACTATTGGGATCGTAACGTTCTACAGCGGGACATGCCGGCTCCTGCGGCGTTGTTTGTCGCCGCTTTGGGACCGCTTTCGACGCGCGGGCAGGACGAGATGGGAAACCGCCGGTCGAAGACGGGTTTTGGGCACCGTAGCCTCCTTACCAGGTGGCTTGAGCTGCCACGTGTTCCACTCTCCCGGAGATTGTTGTCTAAATAGACGTCATTCCCACTTTCGCTCGCTGGGACATGTGCACCGTGGGTATGTGAAGTGAGGTACAATCTACCATGCTTGTTGTTGCCACATCTAATGGGCCTGCTAAACTCAGACTTTTGGTCAGTGGCAAGGCCGCCTTTTATTTAATTTTTAATCTCAAGGCCCGAAGGCGTCACTGAGAGGATTAGGTTGGTTACTCAAGAATGCAAGGCCAATGAAGCCAAAATACATTAATATCAATGAACTAGCCAAGAAGTATCACAAGAATAAATAATGCAGAAACAAAACAAAGAAGATTACAACCATTGCTAAAGAACATTTTCTAAATAAATTGTAATTGCAGTTGGAAAATAAGCACCGTCAGTTATTGAGACTTTTGATGTGGGAAGGCAATTCCAATCAATGGATGTCAAAGGAAGAGAAGAACCATAGAAAATTAAGGGCTACAATGGGGCGATGCCTACTTTTAGTTAATGGTCTGTGAATGTGGCTATGTAAAATGGTTCTAAAAATAACGCTCACCAAAGCACCAAGTTTTGCATTTGGTTCCGTTTGCACTACGACCGCGAGGTATGTGGTTCTCGGCCCTGCATATGCTCCAAGGGCTCGTAGCGTGTGCTACCAGTCCGCTTTAGGACAAAATATAGTCTGGAGGGGAGAGAACCACTTCGAATGCATTCTTCCGGGAAACGGGGAACTTTAAAAATGGGGGGGGGGGAGGGGGAGGAGGGAGGGAGGGGAGGAGAGGAGGAGGACTGGAGGGAACGGGGTATTTAAGAAATCAGGGAAACGGGGGACTTAACCGACAAATGCAGTCCAAGCCATGCAATGGATTGGATTAGATTGAAGGTGCGACACTAGGCTAAATCCAGTTCGAGCAACTAGATTTAGTACCAAATGAGAAATCCATAAACCCCATTCCAATCCAAGCCTTAAAGGGATACTACAACGAAATTTCGCCGCTGATTTTTTGGTCTTTATGTGTTCAAAGGAGCAGCACGACATCAAACATACCAATATCTTGTTAAAAAAGTCACGAAAAAGAATTTTGAAACGAATTAAACGATTAGCAAAGGGCACCTGGTGGATGTCGCTAACGCCTCGCTTGCAATGCCCGTCTAGGAACCTTGACAGCTAGTGCCGGAGGTTGTCTCGCCTCCGGCCACGACGAGAAAAGAGGGGCAGGAAGAACTCCTCTCTTCCCGAGAATGCCTTTTGTCTGTCGCAGAAGTCGCTGTTGTCCCCCTACAAGATTAGAGAAGATTAACCCGTCGCTCAAAATTTGTACAAAAGCAGCCGCTTCGGTGGCTGGAACGACTAGGCCATCCTCTCGACGTCAGCCTCGCCGTAGCCTTGCTCGTCCTGAGACGACCTACGTCACGAATGCGTTGGATGTCACATGGTCTCCGCTGGGCCTTCTCCAAGCGCTTGCCAGTGTGGGCCGTTTATAACGAAAAATACAGCCACCAGGCTCAAAATACAAACGTGCGATTGTCATTTACGGATATTGTGGATCATATTCAACCTATTTTTGAACACGACGGGAATATTTCAAATTTCGTTGAAGTATCCCTTTAAGCCGAAAGTATCCGAAAGTGTGCATCTGGCGGCCATGCTGTCATGCAGTTATTGACATGTGTGGTTGGACGTCGTGTTTTCATTGTGTTTCCGGAAGTGACCTCTTCACAGACGATGTCGGCGGCAAAAAAGTGCTTGTTTAATCCGGACCGGACAAACCCGAGCATTTCGGAATATGCAAGTTGAATTAAGCCCATGCAAAATGATCCTCACAATGCTCAGTGCTAAATCTGCCACAAAACATTCTCTTCGAGCAACATGGGAAGCACGGCAGTTTCCAGTCACACATAGTCAAGCTGTTCCTAGTCTGGACATCTGTCATTTTTTACGGCAGCAACGAATGTTTCGGTTGAATGTAGCAGAGACTGCACATGTGCCCTTGAGGAGCCTGCAGCCAGCACAACAAGTATGAAGACGTCAATGAGAGGCTTTCTACTGAAGAGCGCTGTGACAAAGGCTGAGATAATTTGGTGCTTAAACTCGGTATCGATTCATGGATCCCTTCGTTCCACAGCAGCATCGGCCTCACTCTCCCCTCTCATGTTTCCCGCGTATGAAGTCGCTGCAAAATTTCCGTTAGGGATGGACAAGGTAGGATATACCATCTGCCATGGTATTGCGCCCTACTTTCAAGTAAGCTGCTATCAAGCCTTGCCAGTGTGCTCAACAAAGTGACTCGGAAGCAACAGATGGATGTGCTTGTCCGATCTTGGGGCGACACTACCGACGGCCCTGGGGAGATGCAGTACCTCACTTGCATGCTTCCTGGGCCACACCTGTGCTGAGGACTTGGCATCAGCATTCAGAGAGGCCACAGAACCGATCAAGCAAGCAAAGATACTACAAGTTTCCATGGACAGTCCAAATGTAAACTTGGAGTGTCTAAGGTCGCTGAAGGAAGAACTGAAGGAATCGAACGAGAGCCACAATATTCTGGACATTGGTAGTTGTGGGCTACATGTAATGAACGAGGCATACAAGGCAGGCCATGCTGCAACTGGTTGGGATGTAGTAGCATTTCTTCGCAGCAGCCACAACCTCTTCAAATATGTGCCTGCTCGTGCCAATTATGCGAACTTCACTGGGAGCTCACTATTTCCTCTCAAGTTCTGTGCAGTAAGGTTGCTCAAAAATGGCAAGGGCACCACCAGGGCATTACAAGTTCTTCCTAACTTGGAAAAGTTGGTAGAGTGCTCAGCAAAGGCAAACAAGCGGCTGACAAGCTCCAGCTACAGCACCGTTGTGAACGCAGTTGGAGATCAGCTGTTGCCGGCAAAACTAGCTTTCATGCTGTCGATTGCTGAAGAACTGAAGCCATTTTGGCAGAATTTCAGACCTACAAGCCAATGGTTTCTTTTCTTTCGACGGCACTGTAAAACGTCCTAAGGTCGCTGCTTGCAAGAATTCTCAAGAAGGCAATCCTGAATGCTGCAGGCACGCCCCTTAAGCTACTGAGGGTTCACCTGGAAAACCCGAGAACTGTATAGCTGTAGCCGCCTTTGACGTTGGGTTTGCGGCAAAGAACGAGCCCCGCAAGGCGCCCAAGCTACCACAGCTTACCGTACAATTCCGAGCAAATGCCCACCTTTTTGCCATAGATAATGGGAGTGAAAAGCAGGGTGGGCAATCTTTCGATCAATGTTGGAAAAAACCATGAAAACATGAGCAAAACACCTCCAAAAGGCTGGGCTTCGTTTATTTGCCTAGTCACTGTCAGGAAAACCATCAAAAGACTCATTGCTCGCACTATCGAAGATGAGCTCGAGCACCTCGTCAGCGAGGCTGTCGCTTTCCTTCGAGGCTCCATCGTCGACGGACGCCAGGTGGTTGTTGAGTTCACCGTCTTCAGACTTGTTCAGACTCGTGCTAATGCCGCACCGCTTGAACGAACACCTCACGGTATCCTCCAAGATCGAAGCCCACGCCTCAGAGACAAAGCAGAGGACATCCTGTCGAGATGGCTTACGTAAGTTGCACTTGGGGTTCACCACCCCTTCCCGAAGGAACGAAGAGCACCCTTGAATGGCTTTATCCAACATACATCAACGGGCTGCATAATGGATGTACAGCCACCCAGTATCAAGACGACGTCCGTGTCCTTAGCTTCAAGCGCCTCCTGGGCCACCTCTATTTTATGGATGGGCGCCTGGTCAAGGACGAGCAAGCGCCTCACGTCGTCCTCGTTGGGTCCCCAGACCTGCCGTACCCATTCCAGAAACACTGGCGTGGTCATCCACCCATTCTTGGATGACGTCACTCGCACGTTTGCTAGGAGAGAACTGTAAAATAAATGATTTGTAAATGAACTCTGCTGCAAATGTGTTGCGTTTTCCCAAAACGGCCATGCAAGCAAGGGTAGGGAAATGCTCTTGAAACTTTTTGTTTTTTCTGGAGGCTTGTGCCACCTAGCGATTGTCAAACAAATTTCTGATCGTCACGGAACCGGGATTTTGGAACAGTCTGCATGCAGCTAAAAAAATAAATGCAAACATTTGAAATTCGTTCTAAGAGCAGCGACCACCATGAGACAAAACTAAACTGGATTTGGCTGTGTGGGGCGCAACAGTCAAATCTTTTCGAAGATTTCTTGCTCGGCATTAACCTCGTAAATGTGATTTTCGCTACTACATTCCGGCTCTGCTACATTCAGTGTACATGATTGTAAGTCTCTAACCATGCAATAATTAGTAGATGCAAAAACAGCACTTTTGATGGGATCCGGCCGGTTGGTTCTTTAAGGATGACCAGCAACAGGCAGCTTTATTCCTGCCGCCGTTGCACACAGGGACACCGTCATTCCTCGCCGTGCACAGCCAGTGTTCGCAATCCGAATGCTCGGCTCACTGGCAGCGTCGTTGGTCCTTGAAGCTGGTCCGAACCATTGTCTGATCCATGTTTGCTATACAGCAGACAGAATAATCGTGCTCAGGCGAAGCATTCCAACAGCTCTTCGGAACACCGTGATCGCTTCAGCGTAGTCAGCGGGGAGATTCTGGCTTTTGTTTGTTTCAACCCGCATGGATACCTTGAAGCGGTTCTTCCACCGAGCGATGTAGTGGCTTGACACTTTAAAGTTGCCGAGTATCATTTTTGCAGCTAGCTGTCGCGCGTGCTCTTGCAAAAGGTGGTTGCTGACGGCTCGACCGGCTGATCGTTCAGTCTTGAAGTTCATCAGTGCGTTGTCGGCCTCTTTGCTAAAAACGGGTTGTCCATTGCTCATTTCTTTTTTCAACTTATTCTTCCCGTGGCACTGTTGCAAGAGCAATCGGTACTTGGTATCCCACTCTCACACACGCTTCCTGTCTACTTCGAAATGGTGTGCCGTCCCGCTTAAGTTGCTACCATTCTTGCGATGCCACTGGATGACTTCAGCGTTCTTCTCGATCGTGTAGCTGCACCTCATCTTGAGCACAGACGTGGAATAAGTCTACGGTTTCTTGGCACTAGTCTGAATGGGGTAGCCAGCTCAGTCTGACTGATATTTGCCGGGTATCGGATTGTGTGACCTTGGGTTACGCCCCCGCCTCGGTTGTTTCTCGCTGGTTCCTTATCTCCCCGTTATCACCTTGAAGGTCGAACTATATTCGGGGGAATGCGATGTGTCGGAATACAGTTCCAACGGATAGTTGAAAAAAGGGGGGGGGGGGGGGCGATCCTTCAAACGTGGGTGTTCGCTCGAAATTTCACGGTATCTTGCCCCAATTCAAGACATACTGCATTTGCTTCGTTTATGTGTACTGCGCAAAGGTGATAGAGAGGTCACCGTTGAAGCATAAACTAACTAGGGGTGCCAGCTACTTGGATACGGCATTTGCATTGTCTCCGGAGGCCGGCCACAAATGACTGACCCTCGCACGTGAAGTGCTTTGAGGAGACCAGTGGCTTACTGGTCTACAAGCAGAATGGGCTCATCGTTCCTATGTACAGATCTGTTCACTGCGCCAGGGAAAACTGAAAGATATTGACAGAAAAGAACAGAGGCTGGACGTTCTGTGGCTAGATCCCTGCTCACATGATCGCAAAGAGCTGCTGTCTTTCATCATCCTATGCTTGTCTCATGGCAATGCTGCCGTAGATAGAGGCTTCTCAGTCAACAAAGAGTGCATTCTTTAAAACCTGAAAAAAGAATCGCTCATAGCACAGCGAGTGGTGCATGACACTGTGTTAGCAGCAGGCAGCATGGACAAGGTTGAAATTACTAACAAGATGGTGCAGATGGTTCACAATTCCTACAGCGTCTTTCAAGAGAAATTACGGAAAAAGAAGGAGAAAAGTCGGGGGGGGGGGGGGGGGGGGGGAATCAGATGTTCAGAAAAACAAGAAAAGAGTGGCTGCTATTGTGAAAGAACTAAAAGAAAAGAAGCGAAGGCTGCTCAGTGAATCACTAATGGAGGCCAGTCTGCTGCAAGAAAGAATCGACCCCTTTGAGAAGTAAGAGATGTGTGCTTGGACAACTCTTGTGCAATGGCTGACACTCTTAAGCAGCAAGGGCAGATTGTGTTTGTATAACCTTGTACAATATTAGACAATCTCGTCAGATACCCTAATTTGTGCTGATTGTTAATTGTGCTCTAAAAATAAAAAATGCCTTGTGTTTGTAATGGTCTTATATTTAACTGCCTCTACAGTGGTCAGGGAATTGTCAGGGAACCTGGAACTGTTAGGAAAATCCTGGAGAAGTCAGGGTATTTCACCAGGCAACCTTTGCTGCATGTTTCAAGAGTAGAACGGTGATATTTCAGTAGCCATTAGCCAAACTATGGGACCAAAGAATGTGTGCATGTGTATGTGAGTGTGTGCACATAGGGAAGTTGGGTGGGGGGGGAGGAAGGCGGCTTGAAGCTTCTTCGGGGATATGCTGGGATCATGCCATAACACCCGACTCCTCAAGGTGCCCCCATTTGATTTCTTTCTTAGAGGATGAAGTGCAAAGGATGTGACGAGAATGCACCAATCGAGAAGGACATTTTTAGGGTGGTCCTTCTGAGAAGGTCCAGATGAGATGGTCTAAACAAGAACAGGCTCAAATCAGAACCACCCACAAATCTCGTGCATCGCCTAAGGAAGGCAGACACAAAGACTGCTGCGTCAGCATTTTTCTCAGCTTCCAGTCTCGGCCGAACACTGACAGAACACTTGTGTTCCATCTGCGTCCTTCGTTAGCCTTTGGGCGACGCGGAAAATTAAGCACTATGGCTTTCTTGCCTAGGGGTGTTGGTGCAGGCCATTTGTTGTGGTGGACTGCTGCAGCAAGGCGACGCACCCCCTGTTCGATGCAGTTCGTAGACACGCTACATTCTGCGCGTAGTGTGCATGCGGACTGACTGCCGCTGTGCTGCGTTTGATTGGGGGGATCTCTTTTCTACGCCATGTCTCACTTCTCTCGTGTGCCCTGTTGTCGCTTCGCGATAGTTGCGTAAACTTCTGTTATCTGCATTTGCTGCTATGAGGTTCTGTTTTTTGTAGTCTTCTTGCTTAAGTAATCTACGCTTCTTTTGAGTCTAGATATGCCCTGAAGCTACGAACTCTTAATGCTGCTTTGCAAATCAAATTGACAATTTTGTTTTTTTGTGTGCATGAAATTAAGCTTGTTTTGGGTTGCCACCTGATTTTAGTTTCATTGTCGGATATTTAGAGGGAGATTAATCACAACGTTGGCCTCCCCACTACAACCTAGAAACTGAGTCAGTTCCACTACTAAGTAAAAGCATAACAACTCTAAAACAAGCCTATTGCAGTTGACGTGCTAAGGGGCTTCATAATACTTGCGCTCTGTCTTGTTTTCTAGAGGGCATCGTCTGAACTGTCGGCTCACCAGAAAAAAATCATTCCGATTGACAACCACTGTGGAGTTTCCATCGCCGGGCTCACTGCCGACGCCCGTCTGCTCAGGTAAGGGGGCCGTCACCTTCCAGTCTGTGAAGGCTGAAGCCTAAATTTAAGGTTAACTTCTCTCTCAGCATTGTTGTGTCTCTTGGGTGTCTTCGGTGGTGGTTTGGGGAATAACCGTATTGCGAGAGTCAGTCGTGGATTAGAGTACAGTCAAATGTCGTCATTTCAAACTTGAGGGGGACCGAAAATTCGTTTGAATAAAGCAAAGTTTGAACTACCGGGAGTTTCCTCCCATAGAGACGTATAGGATGGGATTTGCATGTTAGTTTGAATTATCCGCAAGTTTGAATTAGGAGAATTTGAATTAACAAGATTTGACTGTATCGGGCAGCGTGGAACTGTGGTGCCCGCTTACCGCATGCACCATTGTGATTTGTCTATTTCTACCCAACAACGTCATAATGATGTCACGCTCTTTGCCTGCTGCAATCCCTGACACCTGCTCTGCTGTAGCCCTCCGGCTTGGCAGTCCACAAAAAAATTATGGACACCGCAACGACAGTAACACTTCTGTTTGCTCATATTTTTTGCCGGAACTTCTGAGACCGCTTGCTGAGGCCACGGCATCTGACAGCTTGAGGCGCCAGCTTCGTGATGTCATACGCAGCCACTTTAGGGACCGCTTTTGATGCGAAGTTTGGACGGGATGCTAGACACGCTAGTCAAAGACGCACTTTGGACACTAGAGCGGTACCGGAAGAAACGTAGCCAGTACAGGGTGTCACGTTTAATTTGTCCCCGCGGTACAAGTCGGCCGCCTTACCTCACGCTCGGCAGTCGATCGTACCAGCCAGATTTTTTGTCTGTCGCAGGCTGCATTCTTCTGTTTCGTTTTCCCAAATTACCGCTTTCCAGATTACGACTGAAAAACGGAATCAAATTTCTCGAGGGTATGCGCTGCAGTGGACGCCGCAGCTATGGTGCTTGGAGCGCTTCTCCGTCTGCTGCGTTTAGCGTCATATTCCGCCCATGCATCGAAAGTGGTCCCGAAGCGGCAAAAGATAACGTTGCAGAAGCCGGAGTGTCATGCTGTCGGATGTCGCGATCTTGGCGGTCGGTTGTAGAAGTTATGGCAAAAAGGCAAAAAGCAGTCGTCACGGCGTCCTGACTCCCAGTTGCCGAAGCTTTCCTTGGACGCGGTGAACATGCCAGTTGGAGACGCATTCCAGGATAAAGAAATCTGGAATGTTGTGTGCCCGTGAACGACAAAGCCCTAGTCTTGGGAAACAGCGGGGAAGCAGACGAGATGCACACTTTCAGCGCCGTTTGTCGTGGTTGCGGTTCAGTCGGCCTTTGCCATACTTTGCCACACCGCCTGCATCGTTTCCGCTTTCTGTCGGAAAGAGAACATTTGGTCCGGCTTTTCTCGTACGAAGCCCTTTAGCTCTGCTAAAGCTTTATCATTTATTGAATGCAGGGGTGTGTCCCATAAGATAACATCTCAATGATTCGGGCTGCCTCTTCCCAGAAGAGACGTCTCGCAAATTGGTGATAAGGCACGCGATGAACAAGGACAGAGATGGCCAGTAGGCAACGCAGGCACTGAACTTCAATTAGTAGACGCTTATTGAAACTGCGTCCGGCGAAGAAAACAATTTCATCGCTTCGACACGTGCTTCAATCTCTTTTTTTTACGTGGAAACAAAAATTGGCTCGAGCATTTATCCTTCCCCTCCCTTCTTATCTCGTACAGTTCATATACTACATAAAAAAGAGATTGCCTTTTTGAGCACTTGTTCGTACGATTCTGGCGTGGTTGTTTTCCTTGTTGGATGTAGTTTCAACATATGTTTAGTTGAAGTTTGGCACTCGTTTTGTCTACTGCCCATCTCTGTCCTCGTTTATTGCACATCGCATCACCAGTCTGTAAGAATTGACCAAGTTGCCTGCCTCGCCACTTTAAAACTAGTTTTGCCTCGTCCTCATTCAAATGATGCAAGATTTCGACATGACGTCAGCATTACGAAAAAGGTTGGATAGAAAATGCTTAGCTCACAAACCCTTTCGTGGGAAATAGTTTAGAGTTTTTTTTTAATGTGCGTTTAGTGTAAAGAAGGCTCCCAGTCATTTGACCGAACTCAAAATCAAGTGCTGCCTTTTTTCGTCCGCAGCAAGTTCATGAGGACGGAGTGCCTGAACAACCGCTACGCCCACGACACCCCGCTGCCCATCAGCCGATTGGTGACTCTTCTCGGCAACAGTATCCTTTGGGCGGGTATTTTCACCCACTCGGGGTCACTGCAGCAGCCTCTGAAGCAGCTGTGCTGGAATAACTTTATGCTTAGGGGACAACTTTCTGCAGCGTTCCCGACGAGGAGAGGAGAGTGCATGCACAGCCTTACTAAGCGGTGCTCAAAGTGGGCAAGGGCACGTGTTCCCTTATGTATGTCTGTACCGCCACAGAAAGTTGTCCCTCACTAACTGCTGAACGTTACCAGTGAATCTGTTGACTGGCCCGGGTGAGAAAGAGTCGTAGGACTCTATGCGGAGTGCAAGTTTATTTGTTTCTTTTGTGCAGGGGTTGCAGTGACGTCAGAATGCCGAGCTCTGATGGCTCCGATTGGGAGGATAGTGGGTAGACCTCGAGGCAGCTGGCATTGAGGTCTACCCACTATCCCTCCGTCAAAGCCAGTCGGAGATTGGCGTTCCGATGTCACTGGAATCCCTTGCAAGAAGCAAACAAACTTGCGTTCTGCACTGGTTCGGCGCAGGCCGCAGGTGGCAAATTGTGACTTGTCGGCTGGAAAGACATTCGCTCATTCTTTTTTGCCGACAAGGTTTTTTTCGCCGAAATAAACACCTCGGGTACCCTCAGTGGCATTTCTTGGTTCGACAAATCAGGCCTGGGTGGACTTCGGCTCCCATGGAAGTTTCGTGTCTTCCGTTTTATCTTTGTGACCGAGGTAATGCCGTGTTCCTATACTCTACCACCACCTCTAGCGTCACATTTGCACGGAGTTCGAGCTTTCTGGAACGCACGGTTAATTTCTGCAGGCTGAAAAAGAGGGTTTCGTCGTCTGTGTCGGACCATTTGTATTTAAGCAGCGTGTTCAGGAGACCGATAAGCCACGCACCCTACCCTTTTACGTCGTAGAACCAACCCTATATGAGTCGGGTTTCCTGGCGTTTGCAGCGAGAGGTGTGTGTTTACAACCTCTACAAGTTAATGCGTTTGCTATAGGACGTAGTGAAAGTCATTTCCTGTTTGAGTCGGATGAACCTTCTTGGGCCCATGGTGTCGAGCCAGAGGAGTGCGGTGGAGACTGCCTGGTCGTCACAGTGTTAAGCGTTCATTTACATTATTCTACATAAAGCTTCCTAAACAACAGTGTGCATAGTGGATAGCTTATGTACAAAGTAGGGGACTCTTTTTTGAATCGGTATGTGGTCAAGATTACAACCCAGATCGGTCCCCGTGTACAGGCTCTTGAAGGCTTCGACTTCAATAGAAAAGCCAGCCAAATATTTTCAAAATTCGTCGAAGCCATGTTATGTTTGCCGTTTGTTTGTCACTCGGGGGTCGACACGGCCATTCTATAATTTACCTATGGACTCGATGTGACAGCTCCGTAGCTAAAACGGTGGCGCTGGTCGTTTTACCGGCGCAACACCGCACCGAAGCTGCCGAGTTCTAACCCGATGCACCAGGCAGCGAGGCTCCATGCAAGGAACGGAAAACGGCATGGGGGTGCAGGTTAGTTCTCCACCAAACTTACCGTTGGCAGGGTGCACACGGGGTCCCTCGCCAAACTTGCAAAACAAAGCGGCTGGAGTAGCAACGTATGCCGTTACGTTGCTGTTCACACAAGCAACCTGCTAGTTTGCCCACGACCTTTACAGACAACGTAGTGCATGGCCTTGACTCGAGGCCCCACAGAAATGCAGGTCTGCACGCAGAGGTACGACCGAAGGCCATACGGCGTGGGTCTTCTGGTGGCCGGATACGATGTGAGTCTGCTTCCCCTCTTTCTTTCTTTGACCAAAAGTTGCCTCGCAAGAAAATCTAGGTACCTAGAGCTTTGAACTATGCACAATTCATTTACGTATCTGGATACAGTTTCGAATGACAACCTTTTACCGTCTTACACGGGCATGTCTAGAAGCCCGAGGCCGTTGAACGATGTCTCGTACATGGCTAAATAGACGTGCGAAAAGACGCTGTCGTATACAGAAAGAATCTCACATATTGTCGACGGATGCACCGCTTCTTGTCACAAAGGAGAAGAGGGGCCTTCCTTTATAATCAGGTGTTTGTTTGCACCGAAGCTGACATTTTGTATTTTCTGTAAAACCCTGCTGTTTTATGCCATTTTTCGTGTAAACTTGCGCATAGTTGAAGTTTCAAAACTTGCTTAAAACAGACCAGTTTGCCAGTTCCCTTATAATCACCTGTTACATGGGCCTGCAGGAAATTCCCTTTACAGCTTTTTCTACCAGCTTCCGCCACTTTTACGTTTTGTTTAGGCTTGCAGGAAGGTATGGACTTGCGAGAATTCCTTTCTCGGAAACATTTCACGGATTCCATTTGAGGTGCTGTAATCAAGTAGCCTGCTTGAGTGCGAGTAATAGAAGTGATCTGGTGATTGCGGCACCATTTGCGCGGTCCTGCGCCACTGTGCTTACCCTTCTACATTTTGCTACATTTAGCCAAAATGTGAAGAATCTGGGCCAACATTGGTGCCAGAACTTGATTTCACTTTATGAATACTGAACATATGGTAACTGAGGACCCCCCCCAACCCCTAGACGTCCGGATCGTTGTGGTAGTCTTGTGCAAATTTTCAGAGCTTTCGATTATCGCCACAGGTAATGTACTATTCGATTTTTGTTGAGTGCACTTCTCACTGCTCTCTTGTTTACTCCAGTGAAACAATTGTGAAGTAAGCGTCATGATTTTGCTTACCTTGCTTCGCCGCAGTGCGCTTGCGTGCTAAGAGGAAAGCAATCCCCCAAAACGAGATGTGTTAAACACGCAATCACAAAATGTATTAAAAAAAAAAAAGTGGAGAGAACTTGGTGGGTGCTAATGTAACAACTCTACTTTTCAGTAAAAACTTTTTAATAAAACTAGCTAGTATTTATAATAGACAATGATGTTTCTGCAGTATCTTTTTCAAATTCTATAGTTAGCAATTGGCCCATATAAGTACCTTGTTAGCAAGGGTAATTGCAAGGAACTTTATATGAACTGCTCTATAGGTAAATTTTTAATTTGAACTATCTTGGTTAGTTACAATCTCTATATAGGTGTTTGGGTTCGAGGTACAGTCAATGGAATGAATTTGAACTAAATTAGATGAAGCAGTGGAAAAAGATTTGGGAGTAAGCTTAATCAGTTTGGCTGGATTGCTTTTAAGCAGTATATTTATCATTTGCATGCCGATTTTTGTTGTCATGGAGTTCTATACTCGGTTTCATACATAGCGTGTAACGCTGGGAAAGGTACTGAAGTAGTGTGCATGAAAAAACAGAAAAGAATGTGTTACTCCGCGCGTTTCGTGGACGAGCGGTACAAGGCGCTACTCTGGCGATACCGACGTCTCGGTGGTGGTGATCCGAATCCGCTTAAGGCGGAAAGCTTTCTTTCTCTCTTTTTTTTTTTTAGACATATTTCTTGTGCAAGATTGTGCGCATTGTGGAAGTGCATATTTTAATTCCTCTTGTTGCTTTTTATTTATAAGGGTTAGACTAGGGGCTGGTGTTCCGCTTGAACTGCGCGCCGGCCTCGACAAAACGGAAGAATGGTCGAGATCCAGGGCGTCTCTACTTTTAAAGCCGTTTATTTAAATGGTAGCTTGAAAATCGGAGAGTACCTTGAGAGTGCAGTGGACGGTCCTTTATATAACGAATAGTGTGATTAGGGGACCGCACTGCCATTAGTCAGACGGCGTGGCTTTCCCTCGCGTGATGTGACTTCACGGAAGTCTCCTTCAGAGTCGGAATACTCGCCGATGTACGGATGCATCCAGACGGCAGTATCCCGCTGCTCTGGTGCCAGCGCCACCATGAGCCGAGAGTGAGAGGGACTCGCAATAGACGCGTACACAACACACGGCACTCGAGGTCAGGATCGAGTGTTGTTTCCTTTTCAAGGAAAGCAGGAGCCTCGGAATACAGCCATGGGCATGTGCGTCGTCCCCTTGGCCGACCAAGGTTAAGGTGCCTCAGGTAGACGGAGCCGACCAAGGTTACGGTCCCGCAGGCAGAAGAAATCAGACGCGTCAGAATGCAGCCACTGGCATCGTCCGCCTAGCCGACCAAGGTTAAGGTCCCACAAGCAGACGAAGCCGTAGACACGATTCATCAGCGGCAGGGTTCCTTCTTGAGGCTTGTTTCACTTCGAAGCCATAACAGAAGGCAGTTCACAACATGGTCCGTGTGCTCGAAACTTTCACATTGCGAAGTCTTCGCTTTGGGGACGCCACCTTGCCAGATAGACACTGCGCTTTGTACTTCGCGACAGTACGGGCCCACAGTCTGGTGTCGTTACTAGCCGTTTCCAGGACTTCACGGACCGACGTCTCTGGGAAACGCGTTCTTGAACTCGCGTACACATTGGCGGTCGCCTGCTTGCACTCTTTCGAGATCTTCGCACAACGAATCTTCGGAAATATCCGAGCAGGAGAGGAAAGCTTCCTGCGTAAAACGCCATCTTCTCAAAACCGGCGGGGCAGGGGAGTCTGGGGCAGCCACACAACCCCAAAACCCGAAGCGGCTGCAGCGCGGACGAAAATGGAAAACAATTTACAGTAGTTTACATTATCTTTTCCTTTTAGAGCGCAGCTCTTAGGCACCCGTTACCGGCTTGAGCGGCGTCGCCGTCGCCGTCAATGTAACCGCGCGGTGCATTATGGGTAGATTTTTACGAAGGGACCCGAGGACTCCCGAAGGAACCCGAGGTTCTTCGGGAGGACCTCGGGTTCCTTCGGGAGGACCTCGGATTTCTTTGGTAGGACGTTAAAAGGACCTCGGGTTCCTGCGGGAGTTGCATGCAACAAGTTGCACGCAACCTGTTGCATGCAACTGGCATATAACGAGTTGAATGCAACCTGCTGCATGCAATCCAGGTTGCAAGCAACCTGATAACGTCATTCGCATCGTCATCGTCATCAGTGACGTCACTGATGACGTCATTGGCATCCGCATCGTCGTCGTCATCATCACTGACGACGTCATTGGCATCATCATCGTCATCATCACAGATGACGTCATCAGTGACGTCACTGATGACATCATCAAATCGTCATCGTCAAGGTCAGGTGACCCCCCCCCCCCCCCCCCCTGAGGTCAGGTGAACCCCCGAGGTCAGGTGACCGCCTGAGGTCACGTGACCCCTCAGGTCACGTGACCCTACTGAGGTCACGTGACCCCCTGGAGTCATGTGAACCCCTTGAGGTCACGTGGCCGCCTGAGGTCACGTGATTCTCCTGAGGTCACGTGACCCCCTTGACGTCACCCGACCTCCCATGAGGTCACGTGACCTTAAGGAGTCACCTGTCCCTCAGTACGCTTCCATCCTCCTCTTCAAGAGCTGCGCTCCAACCGGCGTTACAGGGAATTGTAAACGGCTTTCATTTTTGTTGAAAAAAATCAATGTTCTATCAAAATCATAACGCCACTATCAGTTACTAGCTTCGAAGATGCACATTTTTCGACTTTTTTGGTTTTGTTTGCATGGGCAGCATTATTTTATGGGGTGAATGTAGGCGGTCGGCAGCGCAAACCGGTGCGCTAGCTTTGACTGCATTGCATGCTATGTATGAAACGGAGTATACGTATTAAAATGGTAATTTATGTTCATAATCCAATGACAAAATATCTGAATTAACAAGTTTTATTTGATGACAGCCTTTGGAGCCCTAATAAAACATCATGTGTTCAAGATTACTCTATTCCAGGGGTGCACAACATACGGCCCGCGGGGCTCTTTCTGTGCATCCTGCGGAGGACATGACGCTGCGAGATATGCTCAAGACTGCAGCCAGTGCAATGATGCCAAATATTTAAAACCTGTCTACCGGATATTGAAAACCCGCACAGATCCCAATGAACATTTTTTTGACCCGCGTCGTTTTTGAGCTGTGCACCCTTGCTCAATTCTAACATTATTGCCGAGGAATATACTATTCGGTTAACATTTTATTTCATACCTACAAAAAGTACTCACAGCAGTCCATACCATTTTTTTTTATCAACCAGCATCTTGCTGCGATGCATATGCAGTGTAGACCGCATATACCGTATGTCGCGGGAGTCGCGAAAATCCGCACTCTAAGCGGTACCGCGCTATAACCAAAACATCAATTTTTCAGGCCAAAATGCATGCCATCAGACAACTTACCTTTGTAAAAGATTTTATTTTATGTTATATGAAAAATAAAGCTTAGTTTGAGGAAAGTCTTTATTTCACCAGACTAGTACACTTCTCTCTCAAGTGCTTCACACATTTGGAAAGAAATGAGCGACTTTTGCCTGCCGCAGCCTTTTAACAGCATCGCGGGTTGCGGACGGACGTTGCAAGTGTTCAGGATTGCTAACCCTAATCACTTTTCTCCGGCGATGAAAACGCGTGAAAATTCGCATCCTTTATGCGGCACGCGCCAGTAATACCTTTAACTTGAGCACAGGCATGAAATGCTCCAAATAAGAAATCCGGGCGATGTTCGAAAACACAAATGCTTAGAAAGCGCCACTGTAGTCGAAGTAAACAAACACGATAACACGGGCGTTTCTGCCGTCTTGAGAGTGTTGCCACAACGTCGCCGCACAAGTAGGTGGATCTTCCCTACGTGCTCGGTTATCATAGCGACACACAACGAAAATTCACAGTCAAGAATAGCGCTTTTACGCAGAATGATGAGCTTCTACCATGCCGTCTATGTCAACGATCAAAACAGACGCCATGTTTTCGAATAGAAGCAGCCGACCGGCCGGCCCGCGACCGGCATGCAACGCGCACGAACACTTCTCCTTGACCTGCGATTGGTCTGTCGTTGCCAAGGAGGATAACCTCCTTGGTCGTTGCGGTTGTTTCCAACGCTTCCAACGCAGTGGGGGGACGCACGCACGTGAACGACACGTGCGTGCGTCCCTCTGTCGCTATGGCAACTGAAGCCTCTCTCTTCGCTTCTCCCCGCTTCTTCGAGCAACCTCCTTGCCCCGCGAGTGCTGCTTGCGGCTCACGCCGTTATCTAATGTTGCTAGTGTCGCACAGGGAAGCGTGCTCTCTGCATCGGTTAGTCGGCGCGGTCGCCGGGCTGTTCCGAACACCGCACTATAACCGGTATTTCTCTTCGCGTGCCTGCATTTTAAGCGGTATGTAATTACATGGAGTTCTATGGGAGGCGAACCGGTGGTTTAAAAAAGCCGCATTATTCCCGGTCCTGCACTATAAGCGGTTACGTTGTAAGTGGTCTATACTGTATAGTGTTTCTGCGTGCAACCAAACAGCTTTTTCTGTGTTTGAGGGAATCAAACCTGCCATGCAGTTGATGCTAACAAAAGGTTGCACAGAAGTGAAAGTGTAAAGTAGGTATGTGTTTTACTTAAATAGGCCAAGAGGTCATATTCCTTAAGAGGTCATATTCCCAGTGATATGAATAAAAGTGATGTGTGTGCATGTGCTCCAGAAGTACATTTTGCTTCCTCAAAATTGAGTTTTGGCTACTCCAAAATGACTCGGGCCAATCACATCACTGTAATTGTCGCCCGTAGTTTTTTACTTAAGGTGAAATGTGCAATGGCTGGCCGTACCAACTGTTTCGGCGCCCTCTTAAATGTTAAGCGTGCTTCTTTCCACTTGGTCACTGCAGGACATGGGTGCCCACATCTACCAGACGTGTCCCTCGGCCAACTACTTTGACTGCAAGGCCATGGCGATTGGCGCCCGATCGCAGTCGGCCAGGACCTACCTGGAGAAGCACCTGGATGAATTCAAGAACTGTAAGATCGCCTTTTGTTAAGCTCTGTTGGTTGGTGACATAATATGTCTGAATTCGCCAATACAGTAAGAGCTCGTCAGTTTAAATTTGAAGAGAGGGCTATATACAAACTCAACTTTTTTACATCACAGCGCGGTTAGGCGCATCAAGCACACTTCCGGTCTGCGGCTGTGGGCAGAAATCCCCATGCGAAACGTGTTCATTCTTTCGTTGTTTGTAAAGAAACCAGACAAAAACCTGCCTTCTCGTCAAAACGCCGCGACCGGGGCTGTACCAAAAGAGTCGAAAAAGGTTTGAAGGGCAGTTTTCATGTGCTCGGTTCGTCCGAGAATGTGGATGTGTGCCGTGAACAGGCAAAACCAGACGCCGTCGGACCGCGATTGCTTGGGCGGGAAGCACTTCGGATTGAATTCATGGATACGTGTGGTCATCAGATTTATTTGTTTTGTTCCAACATGAACACTGGAAAACCGTCAAGTTGTACGTACCACCTGCGGACTACGTTCAGTGCGTCTTTAAGTTCAAACGGCGGCCTGGTCGTTCTAACTGTCGTCTGCTCTTTCAGACGACACCGGCCTGTAGACCAAACAATGGCCCGGTAATTTCGAAAAGAAGTTAGTGCAGGCCTCAAAAGACTTAAGTTTGAAGGTTGGTTGGGGTAAGCAGGCTCGATGTAAACAGTACCGTAAAATTCCGAACAAGTGCCCCCCCCCCCCGCACGCAAGTCCGAATTGCGTGCAAAGTGGGGGGGTGCTATCCCGGAACGGCACCAAAATTCAAGATAGCCACGACAAAATTTTTACGCCAGAAAAATAGAAGAAAGCGCACTGCACACAGATTTAATATTTTATTTATCTCTGAGAACATAGACTTTATTAGGCCAAAGATTTGTCACTGCTATGTTAATCACTTTCAAAACCACCAAAAAAACTCCTCAGAGTCGTTCGCAAGAAAAAGTTTGCTGCATTCCGCGATGTTTCCCAACTGCATGCCGTTGGCTATTTTGACAGCCTCTTCAGAAAGAAGCCGGATGCTAATGGCTCATTCTGCACTTCTTTCGCGCTCCAGGTATTCAAAGAGCGCGTCGTCCATGTATTCACTGAACACTGGCACGCTGTTACTTAGCTTCCGTCGAAGTTTGGCTTTCCCGTAGTTTGGCTGTAGCAAATTGTCAAAATTCTCGTCCCATTCCCGTATCCGGTTGAGCTTGATGTGTCAGAAGTCCAGTGTACGTTTTTCCCGTTTGCACATTTTCTTTGCCACTGCGTAAGAATGCATAGCCGACCTGACACCCCCAAAACAAAGTGATAATGGCACGTGACAACCGGGCAGATCGTGCTGCAAAGTAGGATTGGATTGGATTGGATTCTTGGACTGAATTTGGCAGGCCAGGGTTGCCTGGGCGCGGTCAGCGCGGTGCGTGATACGGGTGCAGAGCGGGGAGGGCGGCGCTTTCCCGAAATTAACAGTGAAGTTGGGGGAGGGGGCTCTTGCTCGGGTGGGGGCGCTTGCTTGGAATTTTACGGTAGATACAATGAAATGTTGATCATTGTTACCAGTGGCCATCGCCGACTTGTTATGCCTGGTTCGCTTGGTTTGATTCTGCTGGGATTTTCAGTATCAACGTCAACCATCTCGGCTACAGTTCACACACTTCTGCAGCCCGAGCGACGTCGCGGCTGAAAGTTGGGAGCGGAATCTCATCATGCGAATTGGGCTTGAGCATCCATCCTGCGGCGTCCACACGGAATGAATTGCCGCATGTCACATTAGGGAGTTTTCGTAGATCGTTTTCACCGTCCCGCAACACTTCTCGCAACCCGCTACGATACCTTGACCTCTACAGCCAAGCCCATCGGAGTGTAGGCGCCGTAGCGGCTTGTTCGTTGCTGAGGGCTTAGTGGAGGGGGAAACGCGGTCTACGAAAACTCCCTATTATTCACGCAATGTTTTGCAGTGTAACGTGCCTCAATAATTTTTCTGAGGCCGCTCAAGTAGTCAGACATTGCCAGGAAGACTTAGAATAAACAATTCTAATGCAAAAACGAGCACGGGGACTCACACCAATGCTGGCAACATCGCATTTCGATGGTTTTGTTTATGGGCGACGGCGAGCTTCTTGCCCACACATCATCGCGTACGAACGGAGCCGGTGGCATCCACAAGGGGCGCTCCAGTCTGTTTGTAAACATGAGTTGGTCTATACTTGTTTAAAATGAGTTCAGAAATTAAAGGGCTACATTTTATGTTGGGTAGGCCTGGGCGAGGAATTCCGAGGACTGCCACTTTTTTTTTAATTGACGAAATAGGTTTGAAGTCACCTTATGCTTATTTGCTTGGAAAGAATAGTCGTCGGGTTCTGTGTACGAATAGGATTGAAAGGCGAGGCACACAACGTTGTGTTGCGTGACTTGCAGCGTGGATGGTCGTACCTGGACCATATCGGTGTTTGCCACCCTTTATGGTGGAAACGGTTTGCAATACTGTATACGACAAAATTTTCGCAAGGACCTAATTTTCGCGATTCGCCTGCAATTCGCGAAGAATACGTCCCGCGAACAATTCGGGCAATATGTGAACGCTACGGAAGCTACACTCGATTCGCGAAATTTAGAACCCGCAGATACAGTTAAACCTCGATTTAACGAAGTTGACTGGAGCCGCAAATTACTTCGTTACATCGCGGAATTCGTGAAATCGGGAAATGCATGTTTTGGCCATTAGATTCGATAATCACGACTTCAATGCAGCGGCATCCAAGCTGCTTCCGCGGCACCGTATTAAAGCTTTCAATTCTCAGGAAAAGAACACATTTATTGCTCAAGAAAGAAGCTGGTGATCTTCGACTGCGAGCGCTTCGTCAAAAGCGGAAGCACACACTTCTCGTAAGCGGTGAGCGCGTTGAAGGCAGCTGCAGTTCCCTCGTGCGCACCCGCGAACCGCCTCAGGAGGTCAACGGCATCCATTACCTGGCTTGGCGTTGGCACAGGATCCTCGACTGCTTCTGCGTCATCTGCTTCGGCGTCGTCTTTCTGTCCAGTAGCGACGAGCGGCAGTATCTCACTGCCGTCCAGGACCTCCGTTGTCTGAATGTCGGCATCGGCGTCGTCTCTTAAATAATCTCCGAAGCTGGAGTCTTCCGACACATGGCCCAGTTGGCGAAGCGCTTCCCAGGAACTGGGCGTGGCCTCTTAGTTCAGGAGTTCAAGGCTGGACGGATCCTCGGGGTCGGACGTTTTGAAACCGGCGTGCCTAAAGCAGTTCACTATTACCGACGTCCTTGTCGCCTTCCATGACGCCGCTACCAGAGCGATAGCCGTGTAGATGTAAATCTTTGTGGCTCGATCATGCTCCAGGTTCAGCAGCAGCTTGTCGATAACCCGACACTTGTACGCAGACTTCACGCTGTTTGTAATGCCTTGGTCGAGTGGCTGAATGACCGAAGTGGCGTTCGGAGGGAAGTATCGGAGCTCCACGTTTGTCAACTCGAGCTGCGGGACGTAGTGCGCCGTGCAGTTGTCTAGCACAAGGCACACTTTCCTTTTTTGGCTGCACATGTCGACATTGAATTCCTTCAGCCACTTGCCGAAAATCACGCACGTCATCCAGGCTTTGCCGTTTGCCTCGTACTGCATGTCAAGCTCTCTGCATCCTTTAAAGCAGCACGGGTTCACACTCTTTCCGATGATCAGTAATTTTCGCTTGTCGGTCCCATCCATATTGACGCACGGCAGCATTGTCACCCTTTGCTTGCTTTGCTTGCCACCGTGACAGGACGCACCTTTTTGGGCAAGCGTTCTTTTCGGTAGCATTTGATAGAAGAGACCGCTTTCGTCGGCGTTGCATAGGTCCCTGGGGGCATAGCTTGTTAGGATGTCTGGTACTTTCTCAGACAGCCAGTCGCTGGCCTCAAGCCTGTTGACGCTATTTTCCTTGCCGCATATCACCTTGCCTACAACCGCGTAACGCCCTTTAAAACGCGTCAGCCAGCCAGAACTTGCTTTGAAGTCATCAAAGCCCAGCAGACATGCAAAACAGAGCGCTTTCCGTTGTAGCACTTCCCCGGATATCGGAACGTTCTTGGCTCGCATGTCCATAAACCACGTGTAAAGTGCTTCTTCCAACTTTTCGTACGGCGTAGTCTTCAGGTTTTTCTTTTTCGTCGCCTTCCCTGACGAAGCCGCTCGAAGGATAGTGTCCTTCCCCTTCAAGATCGTTGACAACGGGCTCGCTGGGATGCCGTGCTCTGCAGCAACGTCGCATTTTTTACGTCCACTGGCAACAGCGTTTATTGCCTTCGCTTTTTCTTCTAGAGAGAGAACTTTTCTTTTCTTCTTTGGCGGCTCCATTTGACGGTGACGCAGACGTGTTGGTAGAGGAATCCAAAGTCGTGACAACACGAAGCACCCAGGAACAAAGAAACACTGATCTCGGCTCCGCAAACGGCCAAAACGACGGCGAACGTCGGCGGCGCCATTTTTTGCACGCGACGTGAAATACCTCCGCCAGCGCCATCTGCTATAGTTTACTCAAAGCTCGTGATGCACAATTCGTTTTTGTTTTTGCTTGGAGTTCCGTAAAATACAGACTTCGGGTTCCTCAATGTTAGTGATGCACCATAATGACAATCTTCTGAGTCTTTCATTCCGAAATATCCGTGAAATGACCTCGTTTTACTTGCATTTATTTTCAAAAAAGCTTTGTTAAATCGGAACATTATTTCATTATTTCGAGTTCAGAAAAGCATTGAGTCCTATGGGCACCTTACAGAGATTCCAAATTTCTTCGTTAGATCGCGAAATTCGTAAGATCGGGTTTCGTAAAATCGAGGTTCGACTGTAATTTCAAATTTTCAGCTTTGGCCCGATTCGCAAAAATTAACTCGTTTACAGTATTTGTCACCATGACTCGATCCCAAGAACCTGAAAGGAGGGTGAAGAACACAACCACAATCTGTCGCATGCTCCCATAGCTTTAGTATGTACAGTAAACCCTCGTTATAACGAAGTCACCGGGATGGCAGAAAAATTTGATATAAGCTGCAATTCGATAAAAGCGATAGAGCCAAGAAAACAGCCAGCAGCCTTCGAAGTGGATGGGAACACAGCTACATTCTGACCACATATTTAATCAACAAACCTTGGTTACAAACAACAAGTGGCACCCTCACAGAGTAAAAAAAGAATTAAGTGGAGTTTGCTGATTATTTCATCCAGGCATCGCAAGAACACTGCCACTGCCGCTGAACTCCACTTTGTTTTGAAGCAGCGGTAGAATGTTCAGTGTCTCCGCAGTCGTCGGCGTTTCCCGAAGTGCCTTTCCGATGTCGCTTCATGTCTTCCCTGACCGCACACAAGGTCTACGATCGCAGTATCCGTGGCAGGAGCAACTACGGGAACGTCCACATCGACAAGCACGAACTTATGAATAATCCTGGATGCCTTCACCGACGTGGTTTCAGACACTCCTGTAGAGACCGTTGCAGCTCTGGGAATCGTGCGCCAGCTCGGCAGGCATGCTCGCGAAAGAAAATGCAACGTGCGCAAAGCATTTGGCGATCTTGCATCTTCGGGTCGCGAGAACGCTTTTTGTTGCATGAGAAACTTCTCGAACCCATCCAGTATTCCCTGCTTGTTCTGTAAAATGGTAAACAGTGTCGAAGAGCCGATACCGGAATGTTGAATTCTTTGGCGATTTCAGACTTGGACCGGCCACTTTTCTCAACCTCGCAGATCAAAGTGACTTTCGGTAAACACTCCCACTCCCGCACGACATACGTGTGCATGTAGCATGGGGTAAGCCGCAGGCGTGCATCGTGGGCTTCCGAAGGGATGATCTCTTCCAGGCTCCACCGCTCCTAATACACTTTAAATAGTCTGGTTCAAAATGCTTGAGTTTCGGTCGGGACCACGTTGAACTGCGATAATTGCGATTATTCTAAAAAAGCGATCAAATTATAATGAGGGATTACTGTATCTGCTTTTCTAGTGCAAGTGCTTGTCCACAAAATCACGTCTTAAGGCCACCGGTGTCGACTGCTTGCACCGTCGAACCGCCATTCGCACCCCACCACTAACAGCCATTGCGGGAATTTAACGAATAGCAGGGCGGTCCGTAAAAACACCTTTTTGCTTCTGGTAAGCTGCGTCCCGCCATGTTGGCAAACGGTGTCTGCCAGTTTCCTCATTAGTGTGCAAACAGACGTTTAGCCATCATCATTGGCGAAAGGCACAGGCACGCCGAGCTACTTCGTCGACGACGCAACTCGGTAGGTAAGACCGAGAACGTATTTGGGTCGCGTAAATTTGTGTTTACTTCGCACATAGAAGGGCACGGAACGAAAGTGCATCAACATGTCGGCCGGAAAGTTTTTGCACTGGAAGTACATCACGTGAAACTGCCTTATAGAATAAGAAAGAGGGGGCGGCACTGGGAGCAGGCTATGTTTTTTGAGTATCTCTCGCAGTGGTGGAGGGGGGGTTCTTTTCACTGCTTGTTATGGCGACGTTGGGGCTAGAAAGCGGCTTTTCTCATGGCCTTTGCTGTCGCTTGGCAGCCATAAGATTTTCTCTAGCCGCGCGGGGGGCACGACCATGCCACCCGTCCCAGTACTACCCGAACCACCCCGGACATCTGTTCCAACTAGAGCGATCGAAATTATGTCCCGAGGTACTTGTCTTAAATTACCATAGTGCGCCTATTGAAATAATTTTGGCTTACAATACACCAAGCTTGTTTATGAACGATATTTTTTAGAAGAGGAAGAGGTGTTTTGCGGGCAGGCGGCCTTATGGCTTGTAGGTCTAACTAGTCTGGAAATTCTTCCAATTCGGCCTCAAAGCGATTGGGCCCACATGGTGAGATTGGACTGTCTTCTTAGTTGGAGTTAAGAGTGCCGTAAGAAGGGTGAGGTTACGGCCAGGGTCACTGAACGTTTCCAGAGTACCGAGACTCCCAGGCTCAAAGGCGCCAAAATGGTGGCTCAGTGTCTTTTGATCTTATTACTGCTGTCATTATGAGCATTTAGAAAGCATGTTTTTGCAGAAATACGAACAAAGAAAGCTCTTTTTGTTGGAACTTTTATTGGAGATTGGTACAGAATCACAGGAGCAATGGTATTTTCATAAAATTTTAGTTTGCAAGGTTTTGCAGTACAATTAATGTTGTTTTTTATACAACCGTGTCTCACCAGCGATTTCAGGTAGCGGGTCTAAACTTCGGCGGCAACTTGCGGCGTGTCCGCTTGGGAGACGGGGGTTTGCTTCCCTGAAACCCCTTTCACCGTATGTCTTTTGGCACTAAAATGGGCTGATCGAAACTAAAATAGAACAGTCGCAGCAGACGCTGTCAAATGTGATACTCTGGAAACAGTTTGGGGACTCTAGTTGCCGCGACCCCAGCGAGCTACTGAGCCATGGAGAAACTATGCTCCGCGCAAAGGTCGTAGGAAGACACACTTTCACTCCAGCCCGGCTGCGTTTTGTCGAACCGTGCCTCGATTCATTTCTTCCAGGCGAGCTGGAGGAGCTGGTGAAGCATGGTCTGCGAGCGCTGCGGGACTGCCTCCCTAACGAGGTGGAGCTGTCTACCAAGAACGTGTCCATCGCCATCGTGGGCAAGGGGCAGGACTTCATCATCTACGACGACGACGACGTTGCCCCATACGTATCCTTGCAAAGAGAAGCGTGTTTGCATTATGTTGCTCTGACTTACGAACACGGTGTCCTCCAACAATGTATCGGTGTGGTTGTTGAATGCCGATAGCTATAGATTGAATGGGTGGGAAGGTTAGAGCAGTGCTGTCCACCAAGCACCTGTCGATATTCCAGGTCTCTGGGAGATGAAACGCTGCTGTCCGAGCTGAAATCAAGTGATCCTACGTTATCACAGTCTTCGCCGCTGCTGTCATGAAAAAGAACAAGCTGCGAGCGCAGTAGAATCGCGTGTCAATCGAGGCCATCTCTGTAGCAGTCCCCGACGGCAGCAGGACGCCACGATCGACTAGTACCACCACCGTGCGGGGGTTCACTTTCAATAGCCGACCAGTTTGTGAGAAAGTGCAAAACCAAACGAAGCCCGACACTGTAGTTTTTAGGCTATCCATGAGGTGGTGCTGTGTGCTCCTGTTTGCCAAGTTTCAATTTTGGCGGCAAGTGGAAGCCGTTCGTCGGGAGTGATTGATGGCCTACGGGCATGGTAAGTAAAGAGCTAAACAGCCGGCGCAAGTGCCGCTGGCTTCCATAATGAATTAAGCATGGCGATGGTAGCATTTTGTTGTTGCCCGTGGAGTGTTTTTTGTACCGTGTCATGCATCTCGTGTACCTGGAACCAGTTGTCCCTGTGACCATAGCATAAATGCAGTGGACGGGGCTTGTGCATGGTTGCCTGAAAGGAGTGAATGAGGAAATGGGCATAAATGTTGAGTCATGGCAAAGCCGACATAGACACTCTTCATCCAGAAAGTGACACTTGGCCATGCCCTCTAAGCTAAACCCCACTGCGAGCTTGGGAATTTCCTGCACTTCTCGTCTGGCACAGGATCGGGCCTGCGAGGTAGTCCACAACTCACGCCTGTGCCAAATCTTCAAAATATTACGCCTTTCAGAGTAAATTTACCTGCAGGTTTGGTAATGTTCTAGGAATGCAGCCAAATCCGTAAACCTGCATCATGCCCGCGACTCCTTCCCAGTATGTCTAATTCTCAGTGTCAGAGTGTCTGTTATATGAAGGTTGAGAGCAATTACTCTTAAAGGGACCCTAACAGGGTATTTATGCTCGGCAAGGTTTTTAGTTGTATGTGACATATGAGAGCCCAACTACCCAGAACAGAATTTGCAGGTTGAAACTCGGTTTCTTTACGCCCAGAAACTCCCGATCGAGAACTAGCCGGTTTAAGTCGCGCTCACTTTCTTTTTTATGGTCACTGGCCGGTTTTTAAGGTTTAGACACAACCACCAAACTTATTCAAAGTCATTGGTCATTGGAGGCACACACTCAATATTAAAAATAGAAAAAAAAAAAAAAAAAGTTGCACAGAGAGCTGGAAGCATTCTGCACGTTCACTAGGTAATTCTCAACATGGCGTCGTTTCACATATCGTGGGACTTGCGGGGACAGCGATGGCAGTGGACAACAGGCGTGAAACGTCTACTTCAGAACTGTTGTTCGCGGTACCGACAAAGCTTTTTCTTCCTTTGAAAAAAAAATTTTGGACCGATCAGAAGAATTGGTATTTATCCCGTACGACACGCCCGACCACAAATTTGATTTGCACGAAGACATCGCTGAGCCATCGCCCCCTTTTCACGGCTGAAGACATCCCTCGCGCAAATGTCAAGCTCGAAGTGCGTAGTACTTCAAGTGGAATATTCACGCGTACGATTTCTTTACTAGGTGCGCGAGTGGCCGATGCATGCGTGGTGCTGCCCGACTTCAACCCGGGAGTGTTTTTATTGGAGGAAAATCGGCAGCAAACTTTCCAACCTACAGTTTACCGGCGGCATTATTACTAACAAAAGTGTTCCCCCAGTAGCTCAGTCGAAAGATGTCCGCTTCACACGCCGTGGAACCAGGTTCAATCCCGTGTAAGCGTACATTGTTTTTTTTTAAAGATTTTGCGATATATACATTTCTTTTTTTACAGTTATCACTGAAAAAAAACAAATGTTGTGGATGAAACGTCGCTGAACTAAATGATTTGGGATTTTCTTGTTGACACCTGCGAACTCAATGTGATCACTTTGCACAAAATGTAAGGAGCATATACAGTCTAAGCCCGTTATAACAGACCTTGATTTTGGCAAAGGTTTCGGTCTGTTGTACGAGGAGTATGTTGTGTGCAGATATGAAGTTGAGTCAATGGTATGTATAGGAAAACCAACCAAACTTCACATATTGGTATCTTATACCCAAATGTCTGTTGTAACCAGGTCTGTTGTAATGAGCTTAAACTGTAAATCGGGTAGCGTCCGCTTTCCGAAGTGCCCGTAAATGTTCTACAGGAATTGCAGTCAGCCGTTGGTCCCGATCCCGTTGATCTTTTGGAAACTCGTGCAGACTTCTGCCGCACACTGCCACTTTTTTCGGACGCAGGGCATGCGAGGCAATTCTTCACGCAACATCTTGGAGGTATTCTTTTCGGAGACAATCACAGAAATTCACCACGGGCACTCACTACTCATCTCCAATTCATCTTGAAGCACAGAACAGCGAGTGGAACAAACATAACTACAAAGGAATCGCGCGGCAAAGAGTTCCCCGCCACACAGATCAACTGCGGCGTGCAAAAAAAAAAAAAAAAAATGGAAGAAAAAAAAAATGTGCAAGGTGTAGCCACGTGACCTCCACCACTCACTCTCCACTTCTGCAACCTCTGTGCGCAGGTTTTAGTTTCAGTTGTGAGCAGTTTCAGTTTCGAGCAGTTGCGTTTTTTTACTTTATTAAAAATATATGTGACTCTGTTGCAAAACAATTAATTGGGTAGTCTTCCGACACCATAATAAATTACCTGGCAAATAATGAAAAATAAATTTTGGGGTTTGTCAGTGTCCCTTTCAAGGGCCCTGCAACAACATTTCGACTCATTTTTAATTTGCATCGAACCTCGGCGCACTGAATGGATTAACTTAATTAAACATTTCTTTTCTCGAATTTCGCTTTATTTTAAAAGTTATAGGCAAATTTAGATTACAAAGACAAGCAAAAAATAACTTCCTTCATGACGTCTTGGTTTGAGTGGCCGTGAACTAGAGGAGGGGTAGCGAGCTGAGCGAGCGCTCACGGCTGCCGCACTCTGTGTCAACGTCTTGAGAGAGCGCCACTAAAGCATGTGCTGGATGGGCTGATTGAAGCAGGCGGCCAAGGCGGCTCGCATTGCATTTGCTGTGTGACTGAACACTAATCCAGCATGACACTTCATTGGCCACAAACGACAGCAAACACGGGGTAAAGATCAGTTCAGAACGGAAGCCATTTCACGCTGCCAAACCGCGAAATGGCCAAACCGGAAGCCACACCTGCTCATTGAAGGCCTTCGGAACCGGTCGGATCCTCGGGCCCATACGATTGCGGCGCCGCCGCAGACATCCGGGACCTTTCTACGTTTGCCACTCGTCGGCGCCTGATCCCACCACACCTTTCTAGTATGCGATGCTTTTTCCACCGCTTGGTGGCGGGTGTGTCGACGGTTGATTTCCTTTTTCCGTACTTTATGAACTGCATTTGTTTCTTTTTTGATCTAAAATAGTCAACTAAAACTACTTTCATTAATAATTGAAACGGTTCGCGCCACTTATATTTTGTAGTTAGACTAAAAAAAAAAATGCTTTTAGCGGCTTTGACCAGTAGTAAGGCCAAGACCAAAAATGTCACGATGTCGTCACATATCGCGCACTTTCGGCATCGTGGGTCGACCTTGCGGTGCCGAAATTGCGCGATATGTGTCGTCGTGCGGTTAAAATATGACGCACTGATATTTAGTTACTCTGCATGCCGACTGGCTTGCCCAAATCCCAAAAGGTGTGGAAACCGCAAAAAGGTTAGACGCTTAAATGGGATTGCAGGGCCCCTTTAAGCTACTATCCCTCTAGGTTGGATTCTTTACATATGTAGAAACACAAAACTGTTCAAGTACTTGCAGAGAGTGCCTCACTGTGCAAGTCCTCATTCAACTGGTTCACATTTAAATTTGACCTCCGAAGGTCTGTACACTCCTTTTATGCGCTTCGAGTTGCGACTTGTTGTGAACCTCACTCCCTTACCATAAAAGTATCTTTGAGTCTCGCTGAAAAAGAAGTTTATCTTCATAACAATAAATCTTCTTATACAGTCAAACCTCGTTATAACAAAGCTGAAGGAGCGATCGTAATTATTTCGTTATAGCCATTAGTTTGTTATAGCCATTGTCCATTTCTTCCCTATTAGCAAGCAAGGGGAATTATGATTGCTTTGTTATATTCATTAGTTTGTTATATCCCATTTTGTTATAACGAGGTTTTACTGGAGAGATGGGCTAGTTGGTACATCACAAGAATACTGAAAGTGCACTGTCTGTTTTCTAGTATGTAGTTGCTACATCGTAAGAATACTGGAAGCAGACGGACTTCTTTCTACACTCCATTTCACCTTACGATGGACTGTAGAAGACCTCATGAGCCATCGGAGGGATCCATTCCAGTGCCAGGCAAGTGTTATGTTGCATTGGGGTGGCGTTGGCTGTGTCACGTGACTGGGACACCCAGTCGCGGGATACGTTCGCAGTGTTAAATTGGCTGGGAGGGCTTGCAGCTTCTGCTGCGGTCCATCTTGAGGCGAAACGGAGTACAGTCCTTGTTTCTTAGTATTCTTGTGGGGTTTGTTATCAAGGTCCAGAGCAGAAGGATCCAGTGTCGTCTCAATGTAATCCTTGACTCTAACGAACGTCAGCTTGCGTCCATCGAGGGAGAAGAGCACCACGGAGCTCCGCCTCCTCCCCCCGGAGACAACGATGTGATCCCCACGGATCCGCAGCCTCCGTCGTCGGCAGATCCGGCCGTTACCGTGGCCACTGCGGTCGAAGAGCGGATGGAACAGTGATCCTGTCCAGTTATTTGCATGCCAGTGCATTATTTTCGTGCACCTCTTTTTTGCGAGGGTTTTTTTTTTTGTTACCGCTACCTGCCGTCGAGACTGCAGTAAAGAGGTTGGCAAAGCTGGAAGTAGGAGTGGCTATTTTGCTTTATTTGCAGAAATGACTTGCAGTGCCTGAGCACTGCGACCCTCCACATGTGCAATAAAACTTCTTAGAATGGGTGCTTGGGCGAGTTGGATATACATGTTGCAGGAGAAGCGCTAAAGTAGACTCACTCACTCAGCGCGACGTGAGTGACTGTTTTTCTGGTAAGAGTGTGTGTGTGAATGTGAGGGTGAGTGAGTCTACTTTAGCGCTTCTCCTGTAGCATGTGCAATAAGTTGCCGAGGACTGTGAAGTTCCATAAGATTATTTAAAACGAAGTTCAGTGAGCCTGTCAAGCAAGAATGGCATATTGCAGCCAATACCTATTTAACATTCAGATTTTCAATTTGACAGAAAAGGGACTGCAGTAATAACAAATATTTCGGGATAACAGACTTTAATGAAATCCGTTTACAATTCCCTGTAACGCCGGTTAGAACACAGCTCTTGAGGGGGAGGATGGAAGGGTACTGAGGGATAGGTGACTCCTTGAGGTCATGTGACCTCTGGGAGGGGGGGGGGGTAGTGTGACGTCGGGGTCACGTGACCTCGGAGGAGGGGGTCGCGTGACCTCAGGCGGTCACGTGACCTTGGGGGGTCACGTGGCCTTGGGGGGGGGTCACGTGACCTCGAGGTTACGGCGACGGCGCTCAAGCCGGAAACGGGCCCCTAAGAGCTGTGCTCTAAAAATCCCCAGCGGTTTTCCTATGCATTCTATGCAAAATTGTTTCAGTTAAACGAAAAACGAATTCCAGAATGGTGAATATTACAGATTAACGAACTTGATCAGTAGACCCAGGATTATGTTTGCAATCAGTTCAATGGAGTTTTTTGCTCTGCAGTGCTGGCGTAGCCGATGGCTGCCGCCGCCTCTGCAGCGGCGGCGTGTCATTGCTGGCGTTTACAGCGCCGCCGAGGCAAAGCGGCGGTGCGACAGACGAAAACGTACCACATGGTGTGTCTGTTTTTTCTTTGTCATCAGTTGCGTTCGGCCATCTTAGTTTTGGGGTAAAAACGGCAGGACGGCAGTTTGTGCGCCCACTTTCGTAAGGAGTACGATGAAACGGTAGCGGTTGGTCTCTCTCAGGACAAGATCAAAATGCTTCAGCATCTGGACAATGTTGCAAAGGAGTATGGGATTCCACTGTAGACGTTGTTACGATAGTGAAGCAAAAATCGAAGTTTGAAGGAGAAACTGTGTTCAATCCGAACCCCCTAAAGTCCCTTTTGTGCATGTTATGGCTTAACTGTTTGTGCCCAGGTTCGTCCTAAGGTGCTTCCCTCACCTTCCTGATGCGTGCATTGTTTCATCCTGGGAATCCGGCCCATAACTCGTTTTCCACTCGGTGGCACCAGTTATTTCTAAAAGGGGATTATTGTTCCCCTTCAACACTTGTGTTATAATACTCGTGCCACTATAGAGCCAGAAGTGGGCCATTGTATGGCGTGCAAAAAGCTCGAAAGAAAAAAAAATATGGCAGACATTTGATTTATTTATCAAACTGATATGCATAACTCCATTATTTTATTGCAGTGCAATTTGTAACAAAGTGCTTACCCTGCTACATATTGAAAAAAATGTGAGAAATTTGAGCCAACATTGTGCCAAAACTTCATTTCTCTTCATCAGTACTGAAAATATCATCCCCACTTCACAACCGGATTGTTACGGTAGGCTTTTGCGAAATTCAGGGCTTCCTCTTATCTCAAATAAGGCACTGCTCTTTGTCAAGCACCGGCAGTGCTGGGAAGTTAGTTAAGCGCACTTCTGTCCGCGCACTGGTATGCTGCAGTGAAACGGCTACCGCAAAGTAGGCATCACGATTTTGCTTGCTTCGCCGCGGTGCATCGGCGTGCTAAGGAGAAAGCATTTCTCCAGAGCGGGACGTCAAACCGACACTGCGTAGCGGCAACGCCGGAGAAGCTGCAAGAAAAGGTCGCCTTGCCTCTGTCATCTGCATCTGCTTTCGCCGTTTGATTCTAGTAGGTAGCATAGCATTACACTTTTGTATAAGATCAACTTAATAATCACAATTCATCGATCTCGTAACAAAATGGATGAACAAGCGGGTGAAAACATCGTAGTGTGTGTAATTTTTTTATGCACAAGATGAAAACCAGTGCCATCGCAAACATATTCCTTAGCGAAACGTGTAGTGAGACCCATGGACTAAAGTGGATTTATAGCAAAAATTGCCGCAAAGGTCGCTATAGCTGAAAAACAGAAAACACACTTAGAAATTGTCTGTTTCTGTGTATTACTCATTAATAAAAACAAATAGCACGACTCTGAACTTAAAACTACTACCAATTCTAACGTCTTAATACGTTGTCAAACTTGATTACGGTGGTGTGGTGATGGGCAAAAGATCCCATTCTCATGCATGCAGCCGTTGAACGGCTGCACCATCCTGCGCCATATCGCAGGTTATGGGCAAAACCTCAAGACGTCTGGCAAAACAATTCTATTTGCTTTGGTTTCTATCGACTCAATTTGGATGGTAACAATAACCAAATTTGGCTTGGCTTTGGCTTGGCGACAGTCGTTTGTCTGTGCCTTCTGATCGCAAGTAGGGGTGTCGCGAACTTTTGTCAAACCAGATTTTTTGGTCGAACTTTCGGGGTCCGACGAACCTTCAAACTTTTCACCAGATTCGACCGGTTCGACTTTGTGGACAGTGTGGCCAGACCTTGATACAAGCATGTCTAGGTTTGGAGAATTTCTTTTTTTATGCAAAGGGTTATTTTATTGTGTGAACAGCTGCAATTAAAAGAAACTAATTTTATTCACTGAAGAAGTTCATAACTTAAATTTTAGTACTGTATTGATTCAAATAGCCGATCAGCGCTGCACTTAATTGATTTCTTAGCCATTACCATCCAATCCGAAGCCAACTGGCCAGCCTCGCGCATGCGCACACGAGTCGAACCTCAATACAACGTTCGACGAACTTTCCACTAAAAGTTCGAAAAAGTCCAACCGGGTCGAACTCGAACCGCGGCCGGTTCGCGACACCCCTAATCGCAAGTTCTGTTGGTTCTTCCGCGTCCCGCGACGGAAGCGCGCGAAGAAACTCGGGGGGGGGGGGGGGGGGGGGGGGGGGGGGGGAAGAGGAGAGGAGAGGTTAAACGTTACGAGCTTGTCTTGTCTGTCTTCAATGTCCCTCTTTCCTTATCGTAAATTATAAGCCAACACGCTCAACCATTCACACTCTACAAAACTGAAACCTTGCCCGCGGCAGGCAACATTGGTCCTGCTCGTCAACCACTTGACATCACGTGGTAGGGATACGTCAGAAAGTGGCGGTTGGCGCCCTACACTCATGTTTTCTCTCTCGCCCTCCCGCTGCGAGAGCGACAGAGGAAACGAGCACGTGCTGCGTGCGCGTTTTTCGTCTGCTTCGCAGGGCCCGACAAACGAATAAAAGAAGGAAGCGCAGTCGGTTGTAGCCACGTGACTTCCGGCAACTCCTCTACATTTCATCTTCCTTTACAGTTTCGGTTTCGAACAGTTGCGTTTTTACAGCTTTATTAAAACTATATGTTGCGCTGTCGCAAAATATTAATTCAAAGGTTTTCTGGCACCATAATAAATCGCCTAGCAAAAAATATTAATTTTTTTTTGGGTGTTAGTGAATTTAAAAGAGGGTGGAGAAGAATGACGTTGCGACGCTTTAAAAAAGACGCGGAGGCGCGTGCCAGGAAGGCCGATACCGAACGTCACGTCAGCATCCCCTGCGTTCCTTATCATTATTATTAAATTACAAATAGCGCTAGGACAAGGACAGACGAAGAAGTGGACAGGACAGGCGCTAACTCACAACTGACGGCTTTATATACAACGTTAAAGAAGAAGGTGAAGGAAGTGTCTGGAGTTGAAAAAAGAAGAAAAAATTGGTCTTTTTCTAACCGGGCGCTCTAAGAAGATTGTTAGACTAGGAAGATTAAAACACAGCAGACCAAAACGAGATTAATAAAAATTAAACAAAGGTAATGATTTTGAACTCTATACGATACTATTCTGAAGGCCCTTAGAAAATAACCCCGGACCGTGGGAGACAAATTGAGAATAAAAATATTGGATAAAAATTAATAGAAAAAAAGTGATCGTCCAAAGGCCGCCGATCAGTGCCTCGTACAGCTTATTTACCTTTTTACATCCAACAGGCACCACAGCCAAAGCTATACCGGCGCGAGCGCATAGACCCACCCGGTGCACCACCTCACGTGCAAGCGTGATTATGTATAGTGGTTCAAGTACTGAACCTCTTTGTCCGTCAACGCCAAGGATGGTGCGGAGACGCATTTTTCTCCATTGGCTTGTATGGTCTGTGCTTCATAGATTTCCCTGTTCCTCTTTTCTTTAAAACGTCCGATCACTTTTGTGTTTGAAAGCAAAGGTGTGCAGGAGCAATCTCGCACATGCATGGCTAAATGTCCAGAAGGTGTTGACTGCAGGGTCAGGGCATGTTCTCTCAGTCGTGTGTTTATGCAACGTCCAGTCTGTCTGTGGTGCCTTACATGTAAGGCACCACCAGTCTGTGGTGCCTTACATCCACAAGATTTCGCACAACATGAAGAAGATAGCATCCACGTTTGAAGTCCAAGTGGTCCTATCGGCACCGGATAAATTAAAACGAATGTGCCCAAAAATCAACAATGTCAAGCAACAACATCATGAATGCAACATAAACCACAAGCACCGGTATGTCGACTGCAACAGCGGAGTGGTGTATGAAATCCCTTTCACATGTGGGAAAGTGTATATAGGACAGACTGGACGTTGCATAAACACACGACTGAGAGAACATGCCCTGACCCTGCAGTCAACACCTTCTGGACATTTAGCCATGCATGTGCGAGATTGCTCCTGCACACCTTTGCTTTCAAACACAAAAGTGATCGGACGTTTTAAAGAAAAGAGGAACAGGGAAATCTATGAAGCACAGACCATACAAGCCAATGGAGAAAAATGCGTCTCCG